GGGCCCGGGGGCCCCCCCTCGCCTGGCTTTCCCCAGGAAGCAACACTCAAGACGCAGCAGCAGCAGCAGCAGCACGGCCTCCAGAAGTGCTGCATGCAGCGAAGAATGAGTTCTTGAATCAGTTCTTGTAGCCTCTGGACTTTCTACGGCCTCTGGCCATTTCGAACTTCCTGCCTTTGGAGCGGACGTAGGGCTTGGTGTGGGAGTGGGGTGTACCTACACCGCAGCAGCGGCGCGCGATCTCGTGCAAGTCAGTTCACGTTCGTGCAAGTCAGTTCATTTTTTTGCGAATTTTCGACGGATTTCGAATTTTTTTGAATATTTGAGATAAATTTGCAAAACAATTCAAAAAGAGTTCGCAAGTTCGCCACAAGGTGGGCAGACTTACCCGGAGCAGGCCCGAAGTGCTTGTCAGCTTCCCGCAGAATCGAGCCCCGCAGCAGCACGCAGTTGGAGCCCTTGGGGGCCTTCAGCGCCAACTGGTCGAAAGTCAAACATTCTCCGCCCGCCGCCAAAATGCGTTTCCGCGCAGTTTCCGAAAAGCGCAGCGCGCAGACGGACATCTTGGGGATTTGGAGCGTGCGGGGATCGTCTGCGGAGTTGCACAGGAAATTTGAACTAATTTCTCAAAAAGTGGAGCGTTTTCCAGCGATTCCGACGCGTTCTGAACAGCTAGTGCAACTGCAAGCTGCAGATCCCTCGGGATCTGGTCTTCGCGCGAAGTTGCAAAATGAAAAAAAATTCAAGTTCAACTCACCCACGATGCTTCCCACCACCACCGCAGTCTTGTTCTCCTCCTTCCGCATGCGCATTGCAAGTTTCGACATCGACAGCGGCGCCCGCAGCCGCCGCGGGGCCATCAGCCGCTTGAGAATGACTTTGTTGAAGTTGCTGTTCGTTCGCCGCGCCAGGAACTGGTAAAGCTGCAGAAGAGGGAAATAAAGTCCCAAAAACGAAGGAAAGGCAAGTTAATGCAACTCTTTGCAAATCAAGAAGGGGATGTGAGCACAAAAAAATCGAAAATACGAAAAAAATCGAAAAAAACAAGTTCAAACCACAAGTTGAACTGGCTCCGTTCAAATAAGACTTCGCACGCAGCTTCGCATGCAGCAACTGCATGCAGCTTTGCATGCATCTGCAGTGAGCTGGTTAAAAGGGCTTTCTTCTGTTGAAGTTCAACTGCTTTTGGAGATGATTGTCTTGGACTGAAAAGCCCTTCTCCTCACCTTGACGGCCAGCCGCGGGT